CGAGCAGATAAGCATGGGAGATTGGAGACTCCCCTCATCTGGAAGTGTCTGCCATCATGGTGGGTGACAGGCCTGTCTGGCCCTGCACTGCCAGCTGCCCTGGAGACAAGGGCTCCCAGGAGAGAGGATGTCCTGCTGCAGAGAGGCACCAGCTACCTCTAACGGCTGCGCAGGAAAGGCTTGAGCTGGCCCCTTACGCCTCAGGGCCTCAATCTCGGCGTTTGCCCCCAGAGCCGAGCCTGTACTTCCCTCCAGCCTCCCACCCTCACTGTCTCTGCAGAGAAGCAGTGGGGTCCACCTCTTAGTGCACGGTCGGTCAAGAAGTGTGGCTTTACTACATAGCAAAGTTGGCTCCTAAAGCACAGACGTGCCTGCTTGTGTCATTCCCCAGGAACGCTGAGGTACACCGTTTGACCTTGTATGNTGTGCCAGGCGCTGTGCACGGCTCGGGGACCCTTGGTCTCATGACAGAAGCAGGTAGGCACGTGAGGGATTGTAATACGGCTATCTTGTGGTGGGGCAGGCCTTGGTGATGGGGCCCAGAGAAGGGACACGCAGACGGCCCACATGGTGGGAGAGGGCAGGGAAGGGGGAAGAGGGGAAGACCATGGAAGGCTGCCTGGAAGCGGTCGCAGGGTTTAATGCCATCTGATGTGGAATTTGGAAGCTCAGGAGAGGGTCCGTGAGAGATGGGCACGGGGAAGGGCTCAGCTTGTTTTGTCACCTCCCACATTTAGTTAAGGTGCGCTTCTTAGAAGAGGGAGAAGATCATCACGACAATGATGTTAAGTTGAGAAAATGAGCAGATAAGCATGGGAGATTGGAGACTCCCCTCATCTGGAAGTGTCTGCCATCATGGTGGGTGACAGGCCTGTCTGGCCCTGCACTGCCAGCTGCCCTGGAGACAAGGGCTCCCAGGAGAGAGGATGTCCTGCTGCAGAGAGGCACCAGCTACCTCTAACGGCTGCGCAGGAAAGGCTTGAGCTGGCCCCTTACGCCTCAGGGCCTCAATCTGGGCGTTTGCCCCCAGAGGGGGACGAGCCTGTACTTCCCTCCAGCCTCCCGCCCTCGCTGTCTCTGCAGAGAAGCAGTGGGGTCCACCTCTTAGTGCACGGTCGGTCAAGAAGTGTGGCTTTACTACATAGCAAAGTTGGCTCCTAAAGCGCAGACGTGCCTGCTTGTGTCATTCCCCAGGAACGCTGAGGTACACCGTTTGACCTTGTATGGCAGTATATGATAAATGATCCTCCACTGCAGTGCAACGATTGCCAGATGTCCAGTCACGAGGCAGCTCCCATCAGCCCTGTATTAGTCTGCTTCTGTTGCTTATAACAAAATACCCGGGACTGAGTATCTTATAAAGAAGAACAGAATGTATTGCTTACAGTTTCTGAGGCTAGAAGTCTGAAGTCCATCTGATGGAAGACGGTGGAAGCAGAGAGAGAGAGCAAGAGAGAGAGATAGCTCCTCATTCACTGTCTTTTTGAAACCCTCAGAACCACGCCCCTGACCACCATTTTTAACCCACTCACTGCTGCATGGTCCTACAAGCCAATCACCTCTTCAAGGCTCCACTTTCCAATCACACCTAACCGAGACAAGCATTTGGTTTGTCCCTAAAGTGCAGAGGAGCTCAGAAAGCCCTGCAGCTGTGCTGCACACCTCCCCAAGGGCTGTCTTCTGTGGACAAGGGCACAGGAGGCACGGGATTCTATTTCTGTGAAGCTCAGGGCTCTGGGGTCCCAGCTGGACCTTGAGTGATATGAGGTTGGGGCACATTCAGGGTGATAAATCTACAGACCCTGCCCCCTGAGTCCAAAAGACCCAATTAGGAAAGTGTCGGGCCTCCCTGAGCCAGAGGCCGACAAAACCGAGCGGGAAGAGACCCCGGTCCAGCCGGGGGTCCCTTGTGGGGCTGAGCGGGACGAACCGTGGCGTCGGCACCGCCCCTCTCCCCC